GCCTGGGCCCCGCCGCCTCTCTGCCAGGGTCCTCAGCTGCCCGTTGGGCTTCGGGTCGCGGGCAGGGTGGGGCGCATGTGCCGTCCTGCGGCTCCCGGCGGGCAGCGCCTGTGTGCCCCACCGCGGTCTCCACACAGGTGGGCACCGACCTCACGGACATCGTGGCCCAGAGGAAGATCACCGTCCGGGAACTGGGGGGCTGCATGGGCCCCATCTGGCCCAGCTACTACGGGGACTGCCGCTCTGTCCTGGTAGGCCTGCTCCCTGCGCGTGGCCGGCCCGCCTCGCTGGGGTGCTCGCAGCAGGAGCAGGGCCCAGGCCCCTTGCTTCCCTGAGGGCGCTCCACGGCGCCGGCTGGCAGCTGTGCTGCTCTCCGCTTCGCGTGTCTGCTGCCGCCCTGCGCTGTGGCCAGGCCGCCGCCTGCGCCATCTTTAAGACACAGGACCCCGCAAGTAGAGCTTTGCGCAGGGTGGAAGGGGAGCCCGCCTCCCGGTGTCTGCTGTCCACAAGCTGTGCGAAGGTCACTGTGTCCTCTAACTGGGTCTGCTGCCCCAGAGGTGCGGCGCCCAGACCCGCCTGCTGCCGCGGGGGCCCCTGACCGCTCCCCTTTCTGCAGTTCGTGGTGGATGCCTCGAACCCTGCCCAGCTCTCCGCATCCAGCGCGCAGCTTCTGGGTCTCCTGGCGGCGGAGCGGCTTGCGGGCGCCTCCGTGCTGATCCTCTTCAATAAGATGTAGGGCTCTGGGGGCTTGGGGGGCGGGCCGGGCCTGGCTTGGCAGCCTCTCCAGGGCTCCTTCTCTCCAGCAGTGACCTGCCTTGCTACATGACTGTCGAGGAGATGAAGTCGCTGCTCCGACTCCCAGACATCGTTGCGCACGCCTCGCAAAATATCAGCACAGCAGAAATCAGTGCCCGGGATGGCACAGGCCTGTCGGGGGTGCTGCACTGGCTCCAGGGCCCCGGCAGGACCCACGCCTCACACCGCGGGGTCACTCATGCGTCGGGCAGTGGACAGCACTGCTGGCCTCCAGCAGTTGTTACGAGCACAGGAGCCGGTGTGGGCCCTGGAAGAGGCTTCTGAGCTGTGGCAGTGACAGGTAAACTGAGGTGAGCAGTGGCAGAGATTGCTGGCCGGGCCTCTGGAGGCCTAGAGGCCTGGTAGAGGAACGGGCACTGCCTGCACTGAGGCGCCGGCTCGCCCCTCCCCAGCCACGGCCACTGGCCCCCAGCCCTGCCCTGCCCGCAACTGGCGCTGCTGGTGTGGTGCTGCCCGCGTGCAGGGGCTGGGGGCGTGGCCACGGCGTCCCGCGGCAGACATGGGTGGCCCAGGCACAGGAGGGGCTCGCGGGGTCCCCAGGCAACTTCACTGTCCGCGGCCACCGCCTGCCACGGCTGACTCGTGCTCCGGCCCCACGAGAGCGGCCGCATCGGGCACCCCGCCTGTGTCGAGCCGGGATACGGAAGTAAACTGTGGCTGAGCGAGAGCACGACGGCCGGGACTCTGGGAGGCTGCACAGCGCGCAGGTGGCAGCCTGGGCTGCAGGTGCATCTCTCGGCACAGACCGCCGTGGACCCCAACTCCCTGTCCGGTGGGGTGTCGGGGTCGGGCCAAAGCCGGGCGCTCGGCCGGTATCAGCGTCCATCCCGCACTCGGTCAGGCCCAGAACAGCAACCTCGGCTGGCTCTGCCCGCCGCGGCGCGGGCTGGGCTTGGGGCTGGGGTCCTCCTAGACTCGGCAGCCTGAGGGTGGGTACACCGGCTGCCTAGTTGTCGTGGGCAAAGCCTGGCCATCTCCAGCTTTGCAGAAGGATTCTGGTTGGCCCTTCCCCGTCGGAGGGCAGAATGGCCAGTGACAGCCAGGACCCAGGAGGCCCCGGCACATGGCAAGTCCATGCTCTCGACTTTCCGCCCCTCAGTGTAACAAAGCAGGTGGTGCTGTGCGTGTCACGGAGTAGAGTGAGGCCGCGGGGCCCACTGTAGGATGGAGTTGGGCTTCAGGGGGTGCAAGCCGATCCGGCTGGCCAGGCTGCCGGACACCATTTGGGGTGCGAGGACCTTCACCAGGATACTGGTCCCAGGACCGGGACCAGGTCCAGCTGAGAAGCAAATGGGCCAGTCTCCAAGGCCACAGGGCAGCCGTCCGTCCGGATCCTGAGCTCTGGGTGTCCCCATGAGTTCAGGGGCACGAGCGTCTTGGCTCCTTTTTCCTTCCCTGGGTATGGGGGCTGCTGCCACCACAGGCCACCCTCCCTGGACTGGCCTTGCAGGGGCACCGTCCTGCAGTGGAGGGGACAGTGGAGACCGCAGGTCAGCTGGGGTCTCTCGGGGCCATCTGGGGCGAGACCCAACTTCATGCAGGTCCCCCAGATGGAGGCACCCCGAGGCTGGGGTCACGCCTCTTAGGACTCAGCTGCAAATCAGTGGCTGAAACATTGGTGCAGGGAGGCCTGGCTGGAGGGGGACCCTGCCTAGGCTCTTGCTGGCCTCACAGGTAGTGTTCATGGGGGGTGGGGGGAGGATTGTGCAGCTTCCAGTCCACTCTGGGCTTGCTTCTAGGCTAAACCTTTTTTTCTTAAGCAGGCAGATGGAGAATGTACACTGCTGAGGGGAGCCGCAGGGTGACAGGAGGGGTCTGCTGCACCCTGGGGATCACCTCTGGGGTAAGGAATGGAGCTTGCACAGAAGCAGCTGCCGCAGCTTGCACTGCTGCATCCCAACACGCTGCACCCCCAGGGAGGGCTGGAAGCCGCCTGACCCAAGCCTGGCTAAGGAAGAGGATGACCACACCAGCTAGATGACACCCATGGCCCAAAGTGGCCCCTGCCACGTGGCCTTGTGGGGCAGGCAGCAGGCGGACTAGAGGCACCACGCCCCGAAGTGCAACTTTTTATTAAAAGCCCAGGAAACAGCCATGTGTGCACTACACTTGAGCAGACAGGCGCGGAGGCCTCCTGAGCCGCGGCAGGCTTCCAGCTTGACCTGGGTTTCTGCACAGGATGGACACGCGGGCAGCGCCGAGCCAGGGCACCTGAACAGTGTCCTGCAGCACAGCAGCCCCCTCCTGGGCTCCTTCTGTGCCAGCCAAGTTCCAGGGCTGGCCCACTTGGGGCAGCCGGGTCGCCAGAGCGGATGCTGGGAGCAAGGTGGTGGGGTGGCCACCCCCAGAGGCTGGGGGGGTGCGGTGTCACAGCTGTGTGCCCTGTGCCTTCCCAGTGGGGAGGGACCCTAGTGACAGAGTCCGCCGCTGCCGCAGCGCCCGGTAGGCCTGCACTGCCCGCGCTCTCTCCTCGCCCAAGATGCGCTGCCGGGCCAGCGAAGCGCTCTGCGGTCGGGCCCCGCGCCCCGGGCTCAGCAGCCCCGCCAGCGCCAGCGATCCGCGGCCGGCCTGGGGGACAGAAGGGTGAGCCACCAGCTGGGAGGGAGGGAAGCCCCTGGCGGCCCCGGGCTGCCTGCAACCAGCAGCCACCACGGCCCGGGGGCGAGTCCCCGCCAGGCCCTGCTCACCTGGTCCCTGCTTGTGCTGGTCCTGGGCTTGGCCGTCAGCTCCGGGGGCTGCAGGGCCACCTCGCCAAACTGCACTGGGTCTGGAGGACAAGAGGAGCATGCTGTGGCCGCCCGCCACCAGGCCCGCCTGGACGCTAACTCAGGTGCCAAGAGTCACCTCTGAGCAGCTCCTGCTCCAGCCTCTCTGCTGCCTTCTCTTCCCTCCGCCGCTGTATCCTGTCCAGCTTACGCTTCTGGAACCTGGGGGTCGGGGTCCGGTGGCGCCGCTCAGGCCCCCGATGAGGCGCCCCACGCCCTGCCGGAGGGCTGCTCTCGCCTTGCGGGGCCTGAGCCAGCCAGCTGCTCCGCCGATGCCGTCCGCAGCTCCACGGCCAAGGGCCGAGTGCTGCCGGCCGGCCGCTCTCCAACCCCGGGAGACCCCAGGCGCCGAGTGCAGCGGCTCAGCCGCTCCCTGGCCCCACTCACGCTTTCTTCCCAGCAGACTTCTCGCGGGGTGCTGCCTGCGCCTCCGGCCGCCGCGGGGCCTGGTTCTGGGTGAGGAAGAGCACGTGCCGCGCCTCCTGGGCCATGCGGCGCACGTATGCCCGCTCCGACTCCCGCTTCCTCCGCTTGAACTGGGGCACGGCGATGTCGGGCTCGGCTCCCTTGGCCGCCTCCGCGGACCTCCTGCAGGCCGCCTGGGCTGAGCCAGAGGGGGACCTCAGGGGCGGGGCGGGGCTGGCGCCCGGCTCCTTCCCCCAGGGTTTTACAACAGTTTTTAGGGGGGGGGGGGGGGGGAAGGGGACAAGGCAGGAGAGTGAGAAAGGGTGTGGTGAGAGCAAATGGACTGAGGTAGAGGATTATGGATGTTTTGTGGTGGATGTGCCGAGGCAAATCCCATACGTCCAATATACTAACAGTGATTTGAACCAACGGTACTTTGGTAAATTAAAAAAAGAAGAAAAAAAAAGATACTTAAAGGTCTTAGTCTTGGAGAAAGCTCACACACGGCAACTTCCCAGCCCTGCCCTGACTGACTTCATTCTCCACGTTATTTGGCCTTCGAAGAGAGACTGGTTCCTACAAGGAGTCTCCAGACCCTTGTTCACCCATTAAATGACAACAAGAATTTCATTTAAAGCTTTCCCGAGTTCAAATAAGTCAAGAAAATACTACACGTCATCTAATAAAAGACATGTTTCCCCCAGTATCCGAAAGCAGAGACTTCCTGTGAGACCCTGAGACCCTCCTAAGTCAAAATGGCATAGGGAGTTTTTTTTTTTTTAAGCATTTCCAGGTCCCCCAAA